GAATCAATCATGTGTAGAAAGACAAAAAAAATCCCTAAATCAGCACAAGTTTTGTTCAGATACAACTTCATATTAAAAGAAGTGAGATGAAAACATGAAAAAATATCTCAACATACAAAGAAACGCTGCCTTTGCATTACATATCACATTAATCTTCTCAAGTGCAGCAAATAATTTCAGATTTTCTGAGTAAATGTTGTGTTTTTGTTCACTGCACACATACTGTGGCATTTGAATTAATGGAGTATGACGTATGCTCAACAAAGTACTCTGAGAATTATTCATTGCTTTTGTCTTTTGTGTTTTTCCTTTACACAGCTTTTATACAATTTGGTTCTTGTTGCTCCACAAAATGCATGAAAGGACCTTGTAACWGTTTCGTCTGAAAGCTAAACCCTCAGTGGGCATTTTTAACAAGCTTATATGCCTTTTACTATTAATTTGCAATTTGTTTTGAAAGGATGTTGGAAATGGCTTTATGTTTACAAGCCCATAGGTCAGCGGCTGCAAGGTCAGATTTATTATGGAAAATAGAGACTAATGAACATGTGAAACAGAGTAGAAAGCTTCTGGGTTGTGTGTCCTTTTATGAGCTCCAGCAGCCTCACAGTTAATGAGGGTGGCTACAAGAATTTAACTCATTGTTAAAACTGGACACACATATACGCCACACAAATCTTAGATAACAATGAGATGCATGAAGGTTACAGAAACATCCCTTCACAAATTTTGTCATTTCACTTGCTTAGACAAGTTTTAGTCAATAACTGTTTATTACACTGTGTTCATAGCAACTGTTGCATTATTTTGTAATAAAAGAACAAGAAAATTGATTTAACARGAATCATTTTTAAATATGACTTTAACAGGTCCATAAAGACCTTCATAATTAATGTGTTGTTAATTAGCAAACATCATCTAATTGTTAATGTTKTAAATACAGACATTTCTAAACAGGTCTAATAGCTGAAATAAAGCTGCAATGAAAAATCCTCAAAGCTTATAGATACGACTGCCTGCCCCTGCTATGACATTATGCCCCTCAGCACTGAGCTGGTTCTGTCTGTGGGGATGAAATGGACTGATACCTGTCTGCTCTTATCTCACWGGATTTGATCCACTGGGAAAGATTTGGCTGTATAGAGAAGTGGAGGCGTCACAGTGCAGCTGACCACAATTCTCTGTACGGCCGTGGACCCTGTGGTGAAACACAGCAGTACAATCATGAGCACACACAGAACCACGAAGGTACTGCACACACTCACACACACACACACACACACACACACACACACACACACACACACACACACACACTCTTTGTCGACAGCAGTAGGGTGTTTCCTGTTGGCTGCACACACTCACACACACACACACACACAGTCTGGGTCAGTTGATTCATTTTGACAAAAGGTATTCTGATCAAAGTTGAATCGCAGGAGGCAGTTAGTTCCACTTTCACACCCACTCGTTAATGTTGCCGTCATAAACAGGAGAAGCCGCTCGTTCAAACACTCTTCAGATCTCTTTTTAACCCTTTTAAACTTTTTCTACGTTCTTAAAATTYAAATAAAACACTCAGTTATTATTATAAATGTACCCTTTTTCCACCCTAAATGTCCCATCTGTCCTGCAGGAAACYCTGCAGCAGTTGATAGTCATGCCCCTTCCCAACATTCTCCACATCGCCAAGGATCCAATATCAGGTAACACACACTCCTACGCAGCAGACCTGAAGAGAAAATGCTGGTCTGAAACTCAAATTCTGTCTCATCTCAGGTTGTTTTACTCGAGAATCAGTAGCTCTGTCTCAGAAATATTTATGCTTTTGAATAAAATTTTTGAAATGAAATGTTTTATCCTTGAGGGCATGCTGTCCTGCATGTTTTCCTTGTTTCTTTGCTCCAACATATCTGATTCAGTGATTGAATTACCTCCTCAAATTCTGTAGAAACCTTTTAATCACTTTTTCAAGCAAATCTTGTGTGTTGGAGCAGGGAAATGAGGAAAACATGCAGGATAGCGGCCCTCGAGGACTGGAGTTTGACACCTGCGTGCTAAGCTTATTGACTGAGGCAGAAGTCGTGATTCTCCTCTTATTCCTCAGAAAATTAATTCCCAACAGTCTGACTTTTATTTTTAACTTTTAAGTAACGTTTGATCAATAATTCTTCAGTGTTTGAGAGTTTTACTTTACTTCAGTCCTTGAACCTGACCATCATCACAGGAATGTTTATCCTCGCCTGAGGTGGGCTGCAGACCCCCACAAACTTCATATTGAAATGTTTTTGTTGTTGTCGTTCAGCTTCGAATACACTGTTGTGTCTGATATTCAGCATTATTCTGTCTTTTGTCTGTCCTCAGCAAAAAGCATGGAAGAGCTGAAAAGACTTTTGTTGCTGATTCTCGGCTGTGCCGTGCAGGTAACACACACACACACACAGCACACATGCACACAAATACAGGTAGCACACACAAATACACACAGAGCTTCTCCCGGGAAATGTGTGTGTCTTTTCAGTTTTGCATGTCTGAGCACAGGTCTTGTTTGTGWGCAGCGATGAGGTGCAGGGTGGGACTGGAAGTGGGCGGGGCTTCAGGATTTAAAAACACGGGTTGGTGATTTGCTGCAGGAATCAGTCGTCAGAAGTTTCCGTGTTTGAATCAGTTGAAGTTGATTGTGTGTGTGTGTGTGTGTGTGTGTGTGTGTGTGTGTGTGTGTGTGTGTGCGCGCGCGGGGAGGCGCAGGTGGTTTCTGTTTGTTTTCAGTCATTTCCACCTCTCCTGTAGTTCTGAGCCAGCAGAACTGTTTTCATCTTATCTTTTGTCTCTTCCTTCCTTACCCTGCCGTTCCTAATTTGTCTCCCACTCTCCGCCTCCTCTTTGTCTTTCCGCACTGGTTCGACTGGTTTCAGGAAAGAGGAAGGCCAAAAGGGGAGCAGTGAAWGGAGCTACAGAGAGAGAGGAGGGAGGGGAGATAAACCCATATAAAAATGTGTTGTTGTTTTTTACAAAACAACTCTTTGTTCAGACCAATATCTGAATTGTTGTTTGAGTTGATGTTTTTTTTAATTTAGTATTATTTTAAAATTATTTTTTATTTGAAAAATTCTGGGGATAAAAGGAGCAGACATTATAAGATTCATTCTTCTTCTGCTACCTTTCATTTTATTTTGATTTATGTAATGTATTTTCTTTGTTTTCTATTGTATATAGTTATTTTGTTTTTTTAACGAAATGAGTAAAAGTATCAACCAATAAATCAATCAACCAATAGGCAAAAAATCTTAAATATTGCATTTAACCACATTTCCTCCTGTTTCCCTAACATAACAAAAACCAGCATGCAGGTCGTTTGTAATGTTTCTCTTCTGTGCGTTTGCTCAGTGTGAACGTAAAGAGGAGATGATCGAGAAGATCAAGCTGCTGGACATTGAGACTCAGGCTGCCATCGTGTCTCACATCCAGGAGGTCAGTTGAGATGAAAAACTGGTTCTTCTTTAAACCTGACTTTGTTTTTAATCAAATGTCAGATCACTCCACAAACTTTGTTAATCACACGCAAACGACAACGCTTCCTTCATGCAAAATGTAAACGAGACAAAGCTTGGGTTTTCTTTATCAGTTGTAAGAAGTGATTTGTGTGAAAATGATTTCAAGTTTATTAAACTTCWGATGAGTCACATCAGTTCAGCTTTCATTGTTTTTTGAATACTGTCCTGTACGCACACTGAAAGAAGTTTAATTCTTACTGTTTGTGCAGTTTTTTGGAATAGAATAGAGTAGAATAGAATAGAATAGAATATTGTCCCGCTGAGGGAAAATTCACGTGTCACAGCAACATCAGTACAGAGGTTCACACACTAGTTTACAAACTATAGAAAAATGCACAAAAAAATAAATTACCACTAACTAAGCAATGATACTACTAACAATAAAAATATAATATAAAGGACTGCGCAAGAATAAAAAGATATTTGTTTTAGAGACAGTAGTTACCTATCAGAATTTGACATTAGAAATTAGAATTTGCCTTTTTTCAGTGCAAAACAATCCCTGTAAAATATCACACTGCAGACAAGAAACACAGATGCGCAATTACAGCAGAAATGTTATTTTAAAGTTTAAAATGGGTAATAACAGAGCAGGTGATTGCTCAGATTAGTAATATAAATGTGTATTAGTGCAAAATGATTGTTCAGATGTGTTATGACAATAAATAGRAACAGTATAAATGATTWTGCYGGCAGCAGCAGGTGTGTAAACATTGTGATTTTTGGGTGTGGTGCAGGTTATAGAGTAACTTCTGTAWTTTATAATTGATTTATAACTGTTTATATGATATAAAGTTTATGTTCAGTAAAAACAACACAAGTTATCCATTTAAATAAACACAACTGAGGTTTTTGTTTTTCCTACAACATTAAAGTCAACATATTTTGCTGTTATTAAAGTACCTGTGACATCATATTTTTGTAATAAATGTGAATGRGTTTTTGMAAAGAGAACATGGATAACATATTGCAAAACAAATTTCACGCCATTGAGATGAACAGTTGTTGAGATATTTGCATGTAAAGAAACAGGAAGTGATGTCAAAGGGGAATGTCTGCATGTAAACAGAGCAATGCTACAATAATTAGAGAAGAATCTGTTTCCTTAGATTATTTTGAGTCACTATAAGAGGTGAAGATGAGTTTAGATAATATTTTTTCAATAAACAAAGACCAGAGAGTTTATTTTCTTAAAGAGTTCCCCTTTGATGTCACTTCCTGTTTCAMTTTGCTGGCCAAATTCAAGAGAAAATGTGCCAGCTATGAGATGAAATGGGTAAAATAACGTGTATGCTATTTTCTTAAATATAAATATGTTTTCTTTGACTTTTTGTATTTGAAGGATAAGCAGGTCGCAGGCCCTTRAAAGTACTTGTTGTGTGTCTGTTTGTTTCCAGGTGACCCACAACCAGCTGAATGTTCTGGACCTGTCCTGGCTGGAGGAAGGATCTGAGCTCGGTCCAGAAGAGATGGAGCCGCTGTCCCGCAGCATGGCAGTGTCGCTGCAGCAACTCATCGACCAGCGAGACAAAGCTAGTGAGGTGTGCAGAYAGACGAACGTTGTTTCTGTCAGACTGAAATGATGCTGTGAGCCTGAGACGGCTGCAGACTCTGTTGTAGGAAGTATTAATGTGCAGTAAATGTTCCAGGTGTTTTATTATCTCCAAGTTGCTCATAGGTTTTTCAACATGAARGCAGTTTTCCTTCACATGAAGAATATGGCCACCCTGTCTTCCAGGTGATTATGGATCTGACCCAGGAGAGGGACTATCTTTCCAGCCAGCAACCCCAGGATGTCTGCAGGGACCTGAGCAGCTCAGACCCCAGGCTGAGCTCTGAAGAGGTGGGAGTGAATAACGGCGGGCCTGCAGTGTCGAGGCTGAGCAAGGAGGAGAAGCAGCATCTGTCTGTGGAGCTCGCAGACACCAAGGCCAAACTCCGCAGATACAGACAAGAACTGTGAGTCCGTCGTGAAGACAAAACATCTGAGATTTGAGACGTTTCAGAAAAACTAAAGATCATACAAGACCTATCAAATATAATGTTTCAGAGTCATAACTCAGTTCACACATTTAGTTCCTTGATTCCAGGAGGTTTGAGTGATTCTTATTTGTTTCTCATCCAACAGCAGCTGGAAGTCATTTTATCTAATTCTCAGTCTGGTCCTGATAAACCTGTTTAATCAAACTAAGGATCCATGTTTCTGAAAACGTTCTCATGGTCACTAATTATCGAGACAATTTAACCAAATACAATAACATAMTCATGAAAGAAAGGTTTAATTTGTGTATTTAATGCCAAATCCTTCCAGAGCTAAACAAATCAAGCTGTTGTTGGCATGGAGTTTATTATAGAAGCTGATTAATGTGGAAATATAAATCCATAAAGTAACTTTTCTGTGTTTGCAGGGAAGAGAAAACGGAGCAGCTGATGGATTCGAAACATGAAGTGGAGCGTCTGGATCAGGAGTTACAGAAAGTAAAACAAGAGGTAAGTTCATGTTTATGATAGTTTCACGTCTGTCTGGATAAAAGCTGCTCAAAACTTTTTGACATCAAATTTTATTTAAAACTAACAAATATACTGAAATAAGTAAACTAAATGTCAGAGTTTTCTCTTCAAAAGTTTTATTAGTGTAAATCAAAACGATGGCTGGGTGAAAAAAAATGGATCTAATCGATCTTGGATCGATTTCATTTAAGTTTGGGAAAATCAACCCACAGGGCATGAGATGYATTTTTCCTCAAAGCGTCTTGTGTGTGTTMAAGCTGAGGCGTGTTTCTATATTTTATGTCACTCCTGGCTTGCCATAGCGCTAACGTTAGCTTCTGACAACATGTCTGGAGCAAAACAACAGAAACTAATTAATCACTAACATTACAGCTGACTCTCTGCAGAACGTAAAAACACAGACCATGGTGACTTTTGTTTGTAAAGATTTACACTCGTACATGGTAGAATAAAACGAAGCTACGAGCGGCTCATTCAGGTGTTCGAACCAAAACTACCGTGTGTAAACATCTGACTGAATCTGTTCTCCCCGACATTTAGAAATATGTGAAAGATGAC